GGTCAAGGGGACAGTTCATTTAAATGATTGATGAGGTGGGTTGAGTTAAAGGAATTAAACTGGTAGAATTATGATGATGATAACTAAAAAGGGATGTACAGACTTTAAAAGTTTATTGTTTTATATTAATGAACAATTTGATTTTTAAAGTTGTATTCACATTTTAACAAAAGAGCAATGAAACGAAACTGACCAGTTTTACAAAGCATTGGATATCGTGATGTAGAAGGTTAAACTTTTACTCAATTTTAAAATATTAAAATGGTTTGAATGTGTGAAAACAGGGATACCAATTTTAGAGCATAATGAAATATACTTTACACAACATTTTCTCTTAAGACAAGGATAAACAATATTTTCTTATTCATAACTTTTTTACGCACTGCAGATGGTGCTGATCGTTTCGAGGAAAGAGTCGTAGCGATCTTGGTATGTGATATGCAGTGTGGCATATTAGACGTTTTCAAGTTACTTTTGAGAACAGTATTTTTCAGTGACTAACATGTACATTCTCAAAATCATGTGGCTTTAATGCATACTCTTTGCCAGAAATTTTACTCCTGGGAATATATTCTAAAAAATGGTTCAAAAGCAGAAAATAGCTCTTTGCATAAGAAAATGTGTATAGCATTGCTACTTATGATAGTGAGAAAAAAGACTAGACCAATTCTAACTTCAAAACAAAAAAAAAAAAGAGAGGATGGTTAAGAAAACTATGATATGTAGACACATGTGGGAGACCATTATTCTGCAGGCATTTAAAATGAGAAAGAAGACTAAGAAAAAAAAAAGACTGGGAAATTATTACAAAATACTATTAGTGGCAATTGATGTATACAAATCTTACTTCTGCATAACAGTTTTATACATATATAAAGTTTTATTAGATTGGAAGAGAACTTGAAATAGGTAATATGATACAAGCTTATCAATGACTTACAATTACCATCTTATATATTTAAATTGATTTAATAATATCTTGAATTAAATGATCTTAAGATGGCTGGAAAATTGGTTAGTCATAATTTTTCTTAAAATATGAATATCTTCCAATTTTAATAATAGATACATCATTAGTAGTCTTATATTTACAGGAGTAAACTATTTCACACTCTTAAGTCATACTTGTGTCTAGTAATTCTTACGCGTTCTAGTTTTAAATATTCTATCCACAGACTGTTGAGTGAAATTTCTAAGAACACTGTTAATAAAGGTTTCCAATTAACAGAATCAAAGCTTACAGTTTTAGTGCTGTGAGTACCTAGTCTTATGCTAGATAGACAAGTAGGATAGAAAGGGGGTGGATAAAGAATTTAGGAAGTGGGCGAATCATTGACTCATAGACTGAGAGGAACCTCAGAGTTATCCATCCGAGCTTGGACCAGTGGGATTTCTACAGACAATTTGCAGGAAGAGATTTCAGCCTATCAGTAATCCACTCATAACTATGGAAATCTAAGAGCTGGCCCAATGTCTAAGGACGTGGATCTAATAGCTAATTCAGTAGTCATCAAACAGTCACTTATGTAAGTGCCATGCAAATTCTGATTTTACCCTGTAGCTATCATTTAGAAGCGAGTGTTTTTGAAATGTATTATGAGTGATTTGTATGCATTTCTCCCCTAAAAAGTAAAGTTGAGGTAGTCAACGTAAATTACACTGAGTTTATATATTCAACAAACGTGTTAACTTTCATTCACTGAAAATATTAATGTGGGTATATGGGATGCTAAGGCTTGTCATTTCCAATATTATAAGTATCTATTACAGATACTGGTCTTGATGCTTAGTTTAAAAAGAAAAGAAACTCTTTCGAGAGTTCAGTGCACTGGAAATTTCTACCAATGTTTCTCTTCTAAGGTAAAATGCTACATGTTACCCGGATATTGTTCGTTGCATTCCAAAGTTCCGTTTTCTCTTTTTAAAAATGCATGTGTTTTCTCCACATTGAGAACAGAGAATGTTAATTCAGATGTAGCATGGGATGTCTGCCTATTGATATTTTCCTCTGTGCTGTATGTGAAAATGTTGTCTGTGAAGGAAAGGTTGACAGAATGAATGTGGATACTTTGCTGTGAAACTAAATGTGGTTTATTTTCTGCTTGTTTGAGAAAACGCTGGAGAATAAGGTTGTATGAAGGTGTCTATATTTCCTATTCTAGTGGTTTGCTGTCTATGTTCTTACCTTATTCCTGGCCTTTGAAAAATCAATGGGACCAAACCCTGGCTTTTCCTTAAAGCTTGAGCAGACTAGATTGTAGACATGTTCAAAACATTTGACCTTGGTTATTTTGCTTTAATTTGAAGCTGCCCCTTTATTTGTTGTTGTTTTTTTTTTCTTCCTTTTGGTTTTTTACAACAGGAAATATTAAATGTCAAGAAAAGTACCATGCCATTATCCAAATTATCTTTTAATTAGTACCAGTTTAAACATTGATTACATTGAAAATCATTTCATTTCAGCCACAGCGTCCTGTGTTTACTCATGAAAATATTCAAGGTGGGGGGGAACCGTAAGTATTCTTCTTATCTTCTAAATTCGAGACTAACCTTGACCCACAAAATGGACAACTGTACCAAAATGTAAGATGTATGGCTTTGCAAGTGAAAGATCAAAGTAACTAACATGAGGCCTCCTAAATTACAAGAAATTATAATAGTCTCTCCATCGTTTATGACAGTGATCAGAAACGAATTTTTGGAAGAACCCATAGTTCTCTGAGATTTTAACTGATGCACTAGGAAAAGTTTCCAATGCTTCAGTGATTCCTGAGATGGTTAACTCTGTCTCCCTCTCTGCTCTGCTGGTTGTGTAACAAGTAACTAGGAGCTTCAAAGACATACAGAACATGTTCTAACCTTACATCTACACCCACTGGGCAACTGTAAAAGTGGACCTAAGTGTAAAAAAGACCTAAAGTGATCATTCTGTCATTCCAAAGTGACATGCTTAGAAGGGTCATTTGAAAATGGCAGTATTAAAACACTCACTCTTACTCAGTTACTTGCTACTACTTCCGCGGCACCAGGAAAACGCCTTTTCAAACTTCCCTTTCAAATTCCTTCTCCTTTCTGATACATGAGTTAAATCAGCCTGAAGGTGTCACACGTTGTCTTGAAGATTCTCTCTGTGTATTTCTTTTTCGGGCCCATTTTGTCCCCGAGAGACGTTCAGGAGTTAACAACTTCCTGTTGGCCTCTGCCCGTGTACTGTGAGCCAAGAGCGACACCCCTGGGAAGGCTCACTCATGGACCTAACCCTTGTCCCCCGTATCTGAGCACACACTGGGGATCCTGACCCACTGCCCACACTCTGGAGCAGAACAGGCTACCAACAGCCTCCTCGCTGAGGCAGGTCCTGGCATGTGGTCTGGTTCCTTTATCACCATCAAGTCCTTCCTTGCTCCTCACAGACCTGAAACTTAGCACGAAGCATCTCCGGATGAGACTGGCTCTCACAGAGTGCAGCCAGAAAGGTGTTCTTATTGCGGGAAAGTCTGTATTTTGGAAAGAACAGGTTAGCAGTGATAAGCATTTAAAATCTCACTTGAGGTTAGGTGCAGTCACTATGCCTATGATCCCAGCGCTTTGGAAGGCCAAAGCCCAGGAGTTCAAGATCAACCTAGACAACATAGCAAAACACCGTCTCTACAAAAATAAAAATAAAAAGTTAGTCAGGCGTGATGGCCTGCGCCTGTAGTCCCAGCTGCTCAGTAGGCTGAGGTAGGAAGATCACTTGAGCCAGGGAGGTTAAGGCTACAATGACCCATGATTATGGCCCTGCACTCCAGCCTGGGCAACAGAGCAAGACCCTGTCTCAAACAAACAAACAAACAAACAAAAAGATCGCTTAATTGGAAAACACTAAATACGACTTGTAATTCTAAAGTTTTTGTTTGTTCTCTTATTTACCCAAACGATGATAAGATCACATTATAAAAAATAAATTCCAGCGCTGTGTAGGTTTTATTGCATTACCAACATGTTATATTAAACCGCTTTTAAAGTGTCTGTGAATGAAAGATACGTTACATTTTCAAAGTCCTGATTCGTACGTTAGAAAACATTGTTTATTAAATTGATATTTGATTATAGCCTGAATTAGTGGGATTTTAGGGTGTTGCTTAGTTGCTGTCATTTAAAAATAAGTTTTGAGCAAAAGTAGGAACATAATGTTAAGTCACTACAATTCAGAGCTTCAGTGAAATATGTTCTAGAAAACGTTGCAGGTTAGAGAGGGCTTCCAGTCTGGCTCAGCATTTCCGGTTTAAAAGACACCTTTCTTTCTGAGGCATCCGTACCCCACCACCGTCATTCACCTCACCAACACATCTTTCCGAACAGCATTTGTTCACATTGGATTCAACTGCATTTCCTGTTGTGCAGCACTGACTCTGAAAGCCAGTAGAGGCAGGAGGATTTCCTGAAGGTGTGTTTGTGTTTCCATAAAACTCCGTGGCTTTTCTTTTGTTTTGTTTTTGTTTTTGTGGACTCATTAAACCAGAATGGTAAATAAACGTGGACAAACACGCTGGCTTTCATCGAACACAAATGAAGCAGGAGTCCGTGCCAATTTTGTTGCGTTAGCTCTGAGACCTTGAGATTCTTTCCGGCAGCTGCGGTTTGCAGCCTTAGGTCACCGGTCTCCATAAGTGGTTGGAGATGAGCCTGGGCAGGATTCAAGCCTGAGAAGCTCAGTAAAAGAATCAGTTTCCCCAGAGTGAGGTGTGTTGTGTATATCCACCAACACAGCAGCCCAGGAATGACCACCCTCTCTCAAATGTGAAACTAGAAAAGGGACTGTGAACTTTCCACACAGATACACAAAAGATACCACCCGTTCACCTAAGCAGCCTCCAAATCAAATTCTTAACACAAACAACAGAATAAATGGACTACCGCTACTCAAGCTGGCCACATGCAAACATCTCAGTCAGGTGACGTTTGTGTGTTCCACACCTGCCTGCCTTTTTGGCCACTGCCCTGGGATGCTAGCTGCCTTTCTCTGCCCTTCCCCATAATCACAAACCCCTCTCTCAAGAAAAGGCCTCAGAAGCCCATACTCAAAAGAATGTGGGTGGCTATAAGGTCTACCGGAAGGATGAAGTTTTAACAGTGGACGAAGCCTCTAATGTTGACATTTCAGGCTTTGGTGCCAGGCCAGGGAAAACAGTATTTTCTAGGGGATGGTGCTGGGCACCCCCTGAAATCAGCTCTATCCAGCTCCCCCAATCCAAATGGTGGATGAACTGGGGGGAAGCCAGTGGGTCACTGTTGCTTATTAATGACATAAGATTTGCGTTTAAATGATAGAATAGTTTTGTTCTACCAAAATATTATTTTCTGACTCATAAAGTAATTAAAAATAAATCATTCTTGTTCCGGAGCAGTAGTCAAGATTATCAACTTTTTAAAGTTGGCATGAAAAAATCGAAAATGCCCTAGAATGTGGTTATTATTTTCTCACATTAGCAGAATGACATCGCTGTTACAAAAAGCAGCAGAAACAAATTCCTGATTTTTAAAAGTCTCGCTCACAGTACTGGTAATATTTTAGTACTATTATGAAGAAGTTTTCGTGCTAACTGCCTATCAAATTCTTCATGACCTTCTCAGCTACAGTAATTTCTGCCTTCATTTTCCAAAAACACCAGTCCATGTTACTATTTATTATAATGCATGGTGTTTTCTTACCACAAATTCAGTATCTGAATTCATTATTGATCAATTTCTCCACAGTATATGCTGTCGAAGAATTCAGGCAGGGAAAGGAAAGTGGTGGCATTCTATAAATAATTCTTTTTTATATAAAATTATTTCAAGAGAGAGTTTGAAAATCAAATACAATTTTTCTGGGACTCATTTTAAAAAGAGACATGTCTATAATCTGCTTGAAATTGACTCAGTAATAACTGCTCATAGAATACATCTACTCAACTTCATAGGCTAATTACATCAAATTTTCCAACTCTCAGAAAACACTGATCCAAACTATAACATTAAACTGATCTAAAGAATTCCTCTTGGAAAAAAATAATAATTTTCCTTTGTATAGTAATTCACAGAGAGTGATTTAAAAGACAAGTCTGAGACATTTCGTCTATCTCCATTTAGAACCTTTGAAAATTCAATTCTCCAGTCCCCATTATTTGCTTCCGATTATGGCTAGCTAAAATTGTGATTCCTTCTTGTTTTTAAACAGTTAAATAATACAAATATCTCTTATTTTATATTTGGTACTATAATGTCTGAATGATAGACATTAGATGGCTGGACCATTCAAATGTGGGTCTGACTTACAAATGTTAACATATTTTAACCCAATTTATGAATGTTACAATTTTCATGGATATTCCTCATGAGTTTCAAAATGTTGTTAGAGTGTTCTAATGCCTGTGAAGATCTAAATATTGCTATTTTCATGCTTACCAGGCTTGTACCATTCAACAGAATGCTATTTACATGTTTACCAGGCTTGTACCACCCAATAAAATGTTATTTACATGCTTACCAGGCTTGCACCACCCAATAGAATGCTATTTACACTCTTACCAGGCTTGTACCACCCAACAAAATGCTATTTACGTGTTTACCAGGCTTGTACCACCCAATAGAATGTTCAGAATAGGAATGTTAAAGGAAGAATGAATATTGTCTATCTTCTATGTGTCATGAAGGTGTCCACATGTTTTTAAACACCTTCCCTTGTCCTGTTTAAGGTTTCAGGCTCTGTATAACTATACTCCTAGGAACGAAGACGAGCTGGAGCTCAGAGAAAGTGATGTCATCGATGTGATGGAGAAGTGCGATGACGGCTGGTTTGTGGGTACGTGCGCTTCTTCTTCAGGCACCTGCGGTATTTTGTAATTTGCTTGCCTTTGCTCACTTGCATGGTTTGCTGTGATAGCCAAGCTTCCTTCGAATTCGTAATGCCTTTGATCTTTCAGACATTCATATGCACAAAGTAATCCCAAGGCTATTGCATTTTTAATATAGTTTAGTAGTCACTACTTCAGCTACATGTGATTTTCTGCGAGCTTTATTTCCAAGTCAACTGAGAGAAGAAAATTTCTTTAAATAGCAGAAACCAAGAAAGATTGAGATCTGAGAACAACAACAACAAATAGTCCCCAGAAGAGAAATATCAATGCTCCGTGCTGTGGAAAATGTTAGTTGTCCACAGTGTTAATCTAATTTCAGAGGGAGTGAGATTAAGTGAACAACTCCCCCATTTCCTAGGTCTGACGTAGATGCCCGAACATTCAGTGACTCACCTTAGCTCTGGTTTGTGATGGAAGCGGAGAGAAGTTCCATTCTTCCTACGTAAAAGGCAACTTCCTTTTTCCCATCCTAAAAAAAAAAAGACGAGCGGTCTTCTGAGAAAACATTTGTCAACAAAAGTATTCTACACTGGGACACAGAGAGAGATGAAAAGGAAACACAGGTGGCGGGGCAGAGAATGCAAGACAGGAAAGGTGAGAGGAGAGGCGGGCTCACTCTGGACATCCATCCGTGGCAAAATCACGAAAGAATTGAGGCCATGGTGCAGCCCCACAAGCCTCTTATTTTATTTCCATTAAAAGACCATGAGACAAACCTAGAAAATAGTCATTGGCCGGGCACAGTGGCTCATGCCTGTAATTCCAGCACTTTGGGAGGCCGAGACAGGTGGATTACCTGAGGCCATGAGTTCGAGGCCAGCCTGGCCAACGTGGCGAAACCCCGTCTCTACCAAAAACACAAAAATTAGCCAGGCGTGGTGGTGGGTGCCTGTAATCTCAGCCACTCAGGAGGCTGAGGCAGGAGAATCACTTGAACCCGGGAGGGGGAGGTTGCAGTGAGCCAAGATCATGCCATTGCACTCCAGCCTGGGCGACAAGAGCGAAACTCCATCTCAAAAAATAAAGAAGCGGGAGGAGGAGGAGGAATAGGAAAAGGAGGAAGAGGAGGAGGAAGAAGAGGAGGAGGAGGAGGAGGAGGAGGAGGAGGAAGTAGAAACGTAAAATGGCTTGCCTAGACAAGGAAAAAGAAAAACAGTCCTCAAGCCAAGGCAGTATGCACCAGGATATAGGAGAGAGGTGAAGCTTTAGAGACCCTTATTCGCTCCATCTGCGCTGCCTGAAGAAGAATTTAGCACACCAATTTTTACAAGAAGTTTCCAAACCAGAAACCAGAGGTGACCATAATGATGATAGCCATTTGTGAGTGTGGTTAAACACACCATGTTAGAAATCATGCCGGTGATGGAACTCCCACACACAAACAGTGCTTAATCCTTTTTTTTCTTTAATGATTTGTAAATTGTTGAAAAATTGTTTACTTGATGGAGTCTGGCAGTGCTGTTTTTAAATAAAGGATGTGGCACTGAGCATGATCTTCTATGAAATGATAAAACTGGACAGTGACAGCCTGCGGTAGATGATGCCTTCATGTCGCACCTGTGTTGTGCGGGCGACTGGTCGCTGAGAAGCTTTGCTCTTAGGATTTTCCACTCACCCTGTCACCTGTCAGCCTCGCCTTGATCCGTTGCTCCCCACTCTGGTGTGGCAGCCTTGGTGACTGAGCTCCTCCGCCCACCTCCTTAGCAAGGCTCTTTCCCTTCAGATTGGGAGGCTCAGCATTTCTGCCTAGGGTGCCATGATCGCAGCGCATCATTTTTGCTGGAGGGGCAGTGACAGCGTCAGGCAACCAACTAAAACTGCTAATTTTGTCTGCCTATGGGCTTCACATGAGTTGCCTACCTTCTTTTCCAAACCCCTTGGGGCTTGCTGTCTTCGCGAGGCCTTGTAAATGCGAAGTATTCAAGCCCGTGTATATGAACTGATATTGTTGTTACCCCCCTTTCATTACTCGCTTCTGTTTTCAGGGACCTCAAGAAGAACCAAATTCTTTGGTACTTTCCCCGGAAACTACGTCAAGAGGCTGTGAATGGCTCTCCCTCCTTCTGTAGGCCACCTGCCAGCCACGCACCTGCGTCAACGCCTGAAACACCCTGCAGGCCTCCCGTCGTCATGCCTTACGGTTTCCAATGCACCGTCACCATCTCCACCTGCCACCAAACCACCAGCAGAGTAACCGCCGCTGCTGTGAGCCTGGGGGCGACATGGCAGGCTGGTCCCCTCCGTGAAAGTGTGGATTCCTACTTCCTGCTCTAAGCTTTGACACGTCAAAATGTGGGATCAGAAAGAAAATCATGATACTTAAAAATGGTCAAATATTTGAGGCAAAAAAAAAAAAAAAGTGTCTCCAGGGGGCTATTTCAACACCTCCCCCCAGGCAATGTTCTCCCCAAAGATGACCAGAAAATTGTTTATTGGGAAATGCTGTGGTTTGCGTTTTCACATTCTTAGCTTGGCAGTGTATATTCTTTTCACAAGTTTGCCTAGTGTCTTGGTTTACACAATATGACAACTGTAACTGTACTTTAGCTAGTGTTTGCCTGCACATACATGTTGTAATATGCACAGTGATTACCACCTTTAAAGCAAGAGGAGGAAAGTTCATTTGGATGAGTGTGATTTTGTTGATTGAATGTAAGTTTTCAAATAGGAGTCTTTTTCTGCAAATTTTTTGCACTTTTTAGAAGTGCAAACAGTAAATGAATAAGAGCCTTCAGTAATAATCATGACAGTACAAGAGGCTGAGCTAGACTACAGGGAAAAACTATTGTGTTGTAAAGTTGCATCACTATTTTATATTAAAATGTAATGATCAGCATCATGAACAATGAGCTCTTAGTGTTTTATTTATCTGAAAAAAATGTAAGTAAAAGCAGTGTTAGTGAGAGGTGCAAAGAATTATTCTAACATAGACACTTGAAAGTATCTGTAAGCAATACTAGTAGGTAAGATTTCACTGTGTGTACACATACACATTTGAGATTGTATGAGAACATATAATCCATATGCGATGTTGTACATTTTATGGAAATGTAATAGAATCTCACACATTATTTTATAGAAATAGAGTACAGAAGCATCACAAGTATTAAAGTTGGTTTTAGCAAGGATTATGATTAATACAATTATTTTTACTATAATAATTATTTTTCTTCTATGGAACTCAGAATCCTGGCTACATTTGAGGACAGGAATATGTTGAGCCTGATTTTCCTGGTGTGTGTAAAATATTTCCTAGGAATAAATTAGGCACTTTTTAGAAACAATGTTAAATCATTCAGGTTTTATTTTCTGCCCTGAAGCAGAAATTTACAAAATGATATTGGGACCTGGAAGGTTTAATATGGTTCACAGTGCCTGAATTACACATACTCCAAGTACTAGCTTTGTATTTCTTATGACTTTGCATAAGAACTATTCATCTTTGGATCTTGAGCACCTTATAGATAAAACTTTTTATGGCATTTCTTTCGTGGACAGTGATTGATCTTTTCACAATGTACGTAGTCTTTAGAATTTTGTACATATGTTTGCTCTTTTTTTGTACAGAATATTTAGTTCAGTTGTTGAGAAAACAGGGGAGTTTCCTAATTTGGTCTTTATCCTGCGACAACACTTTCAGCAGACTAGCCTCTCCCTATCTCACAGATCACAAGCACCCCTAGATAATGTGATTCTGTCAGATAGCATTTATATGCAAAAATCTATGAAGTTAAAAGATCGTAGAAGCCAAACTGAAATGTACATATCTACTGACTGATGACAAGGGAATTTCATTAGGAAGAAGGTAAAGCAACATCTTTGAGTAGGCTACCTTGATTTCTGTCAAGTTCACAACCTGCTTCGTATTTTAAAGGCTTCAGGTTTGAAATTAAGTCAACTGCATGCAGCTTTGCTGATAAATGAATAATTCTCTTTGATGCCATTTATGAGAAAAGACTTCAATATCTGTTGCCTGTCATATTTAAGAAGAATTACTGTTTCTACTCTCTGTATCTGATTTTAAAAGAAAAAAAAGATTCATACCTGGCTTCCAGGTAATTGACTTTGAATTCTTACAAGCAAAGATCATTGTGTTTTTCTTGAATAGACATCTAATAAATTTTCCTTGGAAGTATACTTCGGTTTTTCTTCTTGACATTTATCTTTATATAAATCGTGTATTTTATTCCAACTTGTTAAACTAAAGAGAAAATGCATTTTGTTGTGTGTTCTTTTAACACAAAAATGGAGAAAAGATGTGTCAGCATCAGCTCAGAGAAGAAATATTTTTAAACCCACCTATTGGGGGAAATCCCAACCTCGATATTCAACATGGGTTCTTTTCTATTTCCTTAAGCATCGGCTGGTCTGAGAAATAAAGAGAAAGAGTACAAAAGAGAGAAATTTTAAAGCTGGGTGTCTGGAGGGAGACATCAGATGTCGGCAAGTTCGTGGTGCCCCTGAGCCATAAAACCAGCAAGTTTTTATTAGCGATTTTCAAAAGGGGAGGGAGTGTATGAATAGGGTATAGGTCACAGAGATCACATGCTTCACAAGGTAATAAAATATCACAAAGCAAATGGAGACAGGGCGAGATCACAGGACCACAGGACGGGATGAAATTAAAATTGCTAATGAAGTTTCAGGCATTGTCGTTGATAACATCTTATCAGGAGACAGAGTTTGAGAGCAGATAACCTGTCTGACCAAAATTTATTAGGCGGGAATTTCCTCATCCTAATAAGCCTGGGAGCACTACAGGAGACCGGGGCTTATTTCATCCCTTCGTCTTCGACCGTAAAAGACAGCCACCCCCAAAGCGGCCATTTCAGAGGCCTACCCTCAGGGGCCATTCTCTTTCTCAGGGATGTTCTTGGCTGAGAAAAAGAATTCAGCAATATTTCTCCTATTTGCTTTTGAAAGAAGAGAAATATGGCTCTGTTCCACCCGGCTCACTGGCAGTCAGAGTTTAAGGTGATCTCCCTTGTTCCCTGAACATTGCTGTTATCCTGTTCTGTATTCAAGGCGCCCAGATTTCATATTGTTCAAGGACACATGCTCTACACCCAATTTGTGCAGTTAACACAATCATCACAGGGTCCTGAGGCAACATACATCCTCCTCCGCTTATGAAGATGATGGGATTAAGAGATAGTAAAGACAGGCATAGGAAATCACAAGGGCATTGATTGGGGAAGTGATAAGTGTCCATGAAATCTTCACAATTTATGTTCAGAGATTGCAGTAAAGACAGGCGTAAGAAATTATAAAAGCATTAATTTGGGGAACTAATAAATGTCCATGAAATCTTCACAATGTATGTTCTTCTGCCACGACTTCAGCCGATCCCTCCATTCGGGGTCCCTGACTTCCCGCAACACCCACCACCAAAGCTCCTGTGCTAAATGTTCTTTGGCTAAAAATTGCCCTTCAGCTAAAACAATGCATTTTAAAATATTTCTGCCTCAAAACAGCTATTTTTCCAAGGAGGGGTTAGTTACAAGGAGTTGTAAGAACTTTCCCAGTTCAACACTCTTAAACTTTAAAACCTTTGCCCTAAGCAGCTTCAGCACCATTGGCTCGGCAGCTTCTGCAAACGTCCACAGGCTTTCAGTGAATTTCAAATGATGGGTGGCCACGGGGCCCCGCTTTCTGCCACACGAATGGGAAAGAGCCAGCTTGCCTGCTTGGATCTTTTCTCACATACCTTAGTCCCTCCTTGCTCTATGTATTTTGACCCTTTTCCATATCTATCTCTTAAATATTCAGAAATATGAACATTCCTCTCTTGCCAACTCAGTTATCAAAGATGTCTTGTCACATTGCTTCCCCTTAACACCCACTCTGGTGCCTTCTATGCCATAGGATAATTCCCACTCTATATTAGCATTCTGCTAAAATGTAACCCTTTGGGTGAGGAATATACCCCACAATACTCTTTTGGTCTTGTTTCCATCTGAGTGTTTAAGGGTCATATAGCTAGATCAATCTGACCTGTCCATCCAGGTGGGTGGTAGGGTGGAAGGAAGGGACCGTCTGATACATACATGCCAGATCTTCATCCCTCCTTTAGCTGCATCATCACTGAAGACAAGCAAGTCCTTTTCTTACTTGATTCAAAGCAGAAAGAACCTGTTTGAGTAACTTTTCATAATCATTCACTGCTTGGTCTCTCATCCTAGAGGGTTGGTTTGCATGGCCCAATCATTTCTTCTGCTGTTTTCCAGATTTTAGCCACAAAGAAATATATTCTCTGAAGAATTATCTGACCACGGCCAGGCACGGTGGCTCACCCCTGTAATCCCAGCACTTTGGGAGGCCGAGGCAGGCAGATCACCTGAGGTGGGGAGTTCGAGACCAGCCTGACCAATATGGTGAACCTGGTCTCTACTAAAAATACAAAAATTAGCTGGGCATGGTGGCGCGTGCCTGTAATCCCAGCTACTCAGGAGGCTGAGGCAGGAGAATCGCTGGAACCCGGGAGGCGGAGGTTGCAGTGAGTCCAGATCATGCCATTGCACTCCAGCCTGGGCAACAGAGAGAGGCCCTGTCTCAAAAAAAAATTATTTGATCAAATAAGACTAAGACTAAGCATTCTGTCAGCTTCCAAGTGCCTGCTTATTTAATTATTTCATCCCCCTCTGCAGATGGTAGCTCTCTAACAGTTCATTCATCGATTATGAGTTCAGATTATTTATTCACCATTAGTGATTACAGTTAGAATACAAGCAGAGACTGGTGTTATTAATAAGCAGTCCACAGCAGAGATTTCCAAACTGTGGCCTGTGGACAAACTTCAGCTCACAGCCTGCTCTTGCATGGTCTGCAAATTAAGAATGGTTTGTACAGATGAACACTGGCAAGTTCCCCTTGACGAGAGGGAACTCTTAACTTTGAACCTCAGTTAAGTAAAATGCTATCTGCTCAGAAAAGGGTTCCTTTCTTTTCATTAGTAGATCTATGTTAGAAAAAAAAAAGTGCTCTATTTTTATTATTATATTCCTAAATCAATCATAATTGGTGGAAATGTGTTTACTCTTTATTATGTGAGAATGTAACATGCTTAATTTTGCCTCCCAGCCCACAAAACCTAGAGTATTTACTCTTGTTCCTTTAGAGGAAACGTTTGTGAATGCTTGGCCTGTGCCGATTGTTAGCAACAAACCTGGAAACTCACCAGAGGGAAAGAAATAGCGAACACCTGCTGTACGCCAGGCTGTTACTCACAGGCATCCCGTGTCTTTATGCTCACAAGCAATCTAAGAGGAAGTCTGCTTTGTGCCCATTTTAGAGATGAAGGAGCTGAGGCTCTGTGAGATTAAATAACTTATCCAGACATGTAAGGTATTGTACATAATGCATGATTGAAATCGGATGGAGAATCTTGTGTGTCTATCTCCCAAGCCTGTCATCTTTCTTCTAAATCATGCAAGCTTGGTGCTGAACACATTGTGGATGAAGCTGTGCACTTAGGGTTGAACAGCTGCACCCATCCACCTCCTTCCCTCTCCACCATTCTCACCAGCAGGGCTGGCATGAACAGACACCGCCTCATAGCAGCATCTTACTGTGCACAGGATGAAAAGAAAGAGGTATACCAATCAGCACCAATTATTTCCCTGAAGAAAGCTGAATTTGGTTTCTAAAAGGACACCAACCAGTGAGGATACACTTTCAATGACTGACATGTTTTGACTGAGCACAAGCCTGTCTGTGGGTTGAACCACCGCGGGGACAGGCGAGCCCGGTGTGCTCTAGGAACGCTGTGTGCTTACTGGACAGCTCTTAAGCATACAAAGTCCCAGGATACACCAGTCATTTTCTGCTGGATGACTCTAAGTGACCTGAGCCTGAGCTCACTGCTAAATTCAGCCCCTCCGCAGCTCAGGACAGTTCCATCTGAGCTCATGCACATGCATATAATCTTGACCCAAAAAACGTTCAGTACAAGACAGAAATCTGCCTCGTAAATCGTCACCTGTTCATTTGGGGTTTCTTGTTTCATTCTTTTCCCTAAAATACTATGGGTGACTCAGTTGTCCCCGTGTCTTCCAAAAATAAGTGCCATTTCCAATACAACTCTTGTTACCATTAACAACACCAGGGGGCGCGTGCTGAATTTTGCACTGATTTCACAGGGAGCTTGAGAATAACTTTTCCAAGCATTTTTTTTTTCATTTTCAATTCCACAAGCAATAGATGCTTATTGTAGGAAAACTTAGAAAGCTATAAATGAACAAAAAGAAGAAACAGGTTCACTAAGAGTTCCATGTAGGGTATGGATTCGAGTGTGGAACATATCCTCCTGAGTGTTTCTCTACACATGTGGATTTGCTGGGGCAGGGGGCAGTGTAGGTAAAAATGGGATCGTACTGAACATACTGGGCTTTTTCTTTTTTTTTAGACAGAGTCTCGCTCTGTCACCCAGGCTGGAGTGCAGTGGTGCGATTTCGGCTCACTGCAACCTCCGACTCCCAGGTTCAAGTGATTCTCCTGCCTCAGCCTCCCAAGTAGCTGGGATTACAGGTGCACACCACTGCACCTAGCTAATTTCTGTATTTTTAGTAGAGACAGGGTTTCTCCATGTTGGCCAGGCTGCTCTTGAACTCCTAATCTCAGGTGATCTGCCCACCTCGGCCTCTGAAAGTGCTGGGATTACAGGCATGAGCCACCGTGCCTGGCCTGAACATACTGCTTTATAATCTGCACTTACTCTTGAGGAGGACTCTGAAATAAAGTGAATAAATCATGTTTTCAAGTCAATTTGACATTAGCGAGGTCTATAAAAAGAGGGAGAAAAAGTCTAAGTCAATCCTCAGGATTCATGAAAATATAATTAACTCAAAACCTCAAAGCAAGAATTACAAAATTACCACCAGGTTAGAAAATCTATTGTAATCTGAGGAATTGGTAGAGGAAGGAAAGGTAAAATGAAGAGAGAAAAGAAAATAATACTTATAATATTCCTATTATACGCCATCACAGGCTTTAAGCATCTGTATAGCAAAGGGATGGCTGAAGCAAGAGAGCGATTAAACTGAGAAGTGAATGTGTGGACTGCAGTTGGATGTAACATCCAAACCATCCTGGAGGTTTGTTTCAATTTTTTGAATCAAAATTGACAGAACAGATCATTT